GTTCATGTGATATATGTTTCGATTGCATATCTTTAAAGGAACGAAGAAGAATCACATGACTTGTATATCTATCAGATATGATATTGTAACGATATTAATATAATTTTTAAAATGTTCAAATTTTTATTTGAGTATGGAAGAACTTTACATAAATAATAAGTTTTTATACTATTTTCTATACGAAAGGTAAAGTAATAATTTATTTAACTAATGATTATCTATGCAAAAGGTAAATTATTTTAATGCAGTTATTTATTTAACTAATGATATTATTCTGATATTAATTTAATATTTATGATATGCAATTTTTTATTTGAGTACAGAAGAATATTACAAGAATTCATGTTAATTGGAAACTAATAAGTTCGTAAGTATATTTTCTAAGCAAAAGGTATATTATTTTAATGTAATCATTTCTTTAACTAATGATATTATAATGGTATTTTAATTTAATATTTATATTATTTTATATTTCAAATTAAGCATTCGTTTAATTATAAAAGGAAGATATCTGGTACTTTTCAAGTTGATTTAGTTCGTGAAAATATTGTTTATTAATTTTAAATTTTTCAAAAATAAAAATGAGAAAAGAAAAACGTTTACCGAAAGCCAAAAGTAGCAAGATGGCTAAGAAGAGGAAACATAAAAAGCAGAAGAAACAATCATGTAAGAATTATTATAAGCTGATAATAAGCCGATATAGTAAAAATAATTTATTAACGTATTATAGTAAATGTAGAATTTATCTCTGCAGCAATTGCTATAGCAATTACCATACTCCAAAGTAAAGGGAAAGGTAAAGCTAAAGAAAGCAGCCCATCACTATCCAGCTCTAGTAGTGCAAGCACTACTAGTAGTGATAATGAAAGGGGACGAGCAAGTAGTAGGGCTAGTAAAAGTAGAAGTGCTAGCAGTTCGAGCACTAGCAGTTCAAGTACTAGCAGTAGTAGTTCTGATAATAGTGGGCCTCCAAAAGCACTAACAAAAGATCAAATAGCCCATCTACATGTAATATATTTTATAATTTATTATAAGAGCTTGGATTTGTTAACCATTTAATATTCTAATTGATATAGATATCAATAAGATATTGGTTAATTTCAAATATGAAATGGGTAACGGGTCCAAGCTCTAATTATTATTATTATCTGGCTCGTGTTTTTTTTGAATAGCTTTTTTTTTTTTAGGATGAAATAAAAATATTGACAGAAGGAGGTGAGTTGTCTGCTCTTAAACTGAACACAAATGATACTTGGTCTTTACAGATGAAGGCCATAAGGCAAAAGTTAATTCTGGCAATAATAAAGAAATTGCCTGGTTATAAACAATATTATGATGCAATTGAGAAGATATTGCAGCAATATCATAAGATGCAGAAATGTACTGCAATGATAAATGCTAGTCCAACATTAAAGACACTCAATCGTGCCAGAATGAATAAAAATACAAGAGTAAATGAGGTAAGCATAATATAAAATTAGGCAT